AATCTGTAGACTCTGGAGACCTTTTGTAAGTGGATGCCACATTATTTTGGAGAGGCTGCCTTTCTCAGTTGATCTCATATGCTGCTTCCTGAGGACCTAGTTTTGATCCATTACAACTCTGCTTATAACACACTGCTTCTCTTTGAGGACACAGTCAGAGTTAACTGTCACATAAATTTTCTTCCAGCAATACGGAGTTTATGGCATAGAGACTGGCTGGTTCTCCTCAAGCCTGATGAGAAGCACTCTCATATAATTGCTCTTGCCTTGCCCTCACAAACTAAGCCTTCATCAGGGGCAGTAACAACCACTAGTTTAGTCTTGAAGGAGGAGCGTACACAAGCCTAATTTCACTTGCTATTCCTTCAGCCTCCGTGGCTTTCCTTTTTGCTTTCTGAACCTCATACTGAAAAAAAGGAGTGTAGGTTGATATAGAGTAAAAGTGACCAGCATTGTGATCAATGACCATTCAACCATGAGCAAAAACAAACAGGTGAGTCCTGATAGTGCTTCAGCCTTTGGGCTGCTGTCACAGCCTTTGAACTTCTGCGAACGCCCTAGAGTTATGGGCAGAAGTATTTTAATGGTCAAGTCCTTGCAGAACTCTCCCATAAAGTTCCATTCATGTGGCCATGAGAAAGCAAAAGTAATACTGGTTCAATTAACTTGATAGACAACAAAAAATAGTCATTGTTTTCTTTTTCATCAAAACAAGACATTCGTGGCTGACTCATCCCCCACTCAGGCTGTGGGATGAAAAAAATTTGCTTGCCCACACTCTATTGCAATGCTACAACTGCTAAACTATTGAAAAAAATTAAAATAAAGAAAATTAATTATATCAAGATTTTTTTCATATGGAAGAATTCATATTGATCTCACTTCTGGTGCCTGAGACATACAGGGATACAATGTCTATCATTAAGGATCAACATGAACAGAACATCATGAACAGGCTGTGCTTGAGATGGCACTGTTCACATTTAACTTTTGAATTTCATATTGCAGGGAGATTCAGGTGGCCCTCTGACAGCTGAAGATGGTAACAAGTGGTTTTTGGTTGGTGTAACATCATTTGGCCGTGAGTGTGCACTTCCCAAACGACCAGGAGTGTATGTTCGAGTCACCATGTTTGTGGACTGGATCAAAAAATTCATCTATTAGCCTGATACTTTTTAATGATAGAAATAGAACTTAAAGGCTCAGAGTAAGTCATTGTAAAATGATGTAAACCAGACTGCCATTTCTATCTCATAGTTGGAGTAACTGAATATTTAAATTTAGAGGAGAAAAATATTAATGATTGGGAACTCTATTACCAATTTAAAACAGTATTTCAAAACAGATGCTGTGGTTTTGTTAATAGACAGTTTTATCGTTTTACTTTTTATTTTATGAGAGATCATAAGGAAACAGTTTCTCTGAACACCAGTGCATTAAATGCACAGCAGAGGGCTTTACAAAGCATAATCAGTAAAAAAAAAAAAAAGTTTGCAAACTACAAATGCTTTATTGAAAAATGGTCTAAATTATTAATTTTAGGCCTAACATTAGCTGTTTTTACAGTGTATTTTTCAACATGTGTTTTCATTTAAATGCATAATCAACTCTTCTCAGTAATCCCACCTCATATCAAAATGAAGGTATATATTATCTGCCTAAACCAGGCTCATGGGGGTTGTTCTGCCTTTATTACAAAAAGCTCTGGAATGAGGTTTATGGATTGTGCATAAAGGTTGATCACGTATCATGCTACTTTCTAATGAATAAATTGAATGTAAGCCAAAAATTCTCTCTTGTGTAATTTGCTTGGAATTAATAGAATTAAATAAAGATTGAATATAGCTTTTTAGTTTTCCTTTTAGGCAAGTGTTTTGGCAATTATTCGAGCAATTACAGACATGCGCTTGTGTATACCCAATACTGCATACAATACTGCAACTTCCTCTCATAAAAAATAATGTTTTTTAAAAACATCTAATAGTAATGATTATCAGCTATTCCTGGTGAATAAAAAGTAATAGGGTTCCTTTGATATATTGCATGTTTTTTCTGTACTGGCGACTTTTAATGTTGGTTTTGTGTTTTGTATGAAAACTATCATGGTAGCCCACTACAGCGTTGTAAAGGGAAAAGAATGGGCGGGGGGGAAGGAAGTTTTTTTCACTTTCTTGGGCTCTTTTCTAAATAAGTTTTTATTAAAATATAATTAACTCCTTGTTGAAATGCCTTAAATTCAATGGTGTCTTGATGTTAGTGTAATATGAAACATTTCCTTTATTTCTGCTTTCAGCCTAGCATAGGAATTTAATATATTTTCAGTTTCAAAGAACTGCACCAAAATATAAAATGCATCCTAACTTACTATGTATGTCTATCTACACATATACACATAAATGTATGATTTTGTAAGGAGCTCCTACACTTGGTGCTTACGATACTGAATGGAGATAGGAAGTGCTCAAAATAGAAGGTTAGCTTACAAACACAGGCTGGCAGTCACTGATAAAAAATATCAAGTTTCAAACTGTTTTTATGTCTTCATAAGCATTAGAGGACTAGGTCCAGATCTAAATATTTAGCTTTATCAATACATCTGTGAGCACGAGGAACACAGACAGATGTAATTAAGCCAGAGAGAAGATAAAAGGTGTTTTAGACATCTACTTCCATATAAACCACACAGTTTTTAACATTAAAATGTTAAAGTTGCAAATCCTATCTTTTGTAATGGACTACTGTTTCTCCTGTTACTCTCTTTCACTTGAAAACAGCCACCAAAAATAAAGTTCATTCTGCTATCAGTATAAATTGATTCGGAAGAAGCAATTATATTAAAATGCTTAATTAAAATGTGACATGATTTCTGCATTATTTACCATACATCATTATTGTAAATGGTGTTTCAGTCTGTTAATGCAATACAAGACCAAACTCAAAGCAGATCCAGTTACTAGAAAATGTGCTTCCCAGAAATACAGTAATATACATCTACTTATGTGCACCTTTTTGCTTCCCAAAATGCAAACCACAGATGTATTTTAAGGTACACATTAATAAAACATCCCCTCAGACTAAAATATTTCCTATTATAAACTCTGGTATAGAAACATATGCAATAGAGACTAGCATAATTAAAAATAAACATTTTATTTCAAATAATTCATGTTTAGATAAAACTAACATAACCTTAGTCGACCACATTCGAGCCTTCATTCGGCACCCATTTCATTTGCCTGCATATTTACCTGTAGAGAAATCAGTCATCACTATGTTAAAACCTGTAGGCAGAATGGATTATTTTCAGGTGAGTCACAGGTCCAAGATGCTTTGACAGAGGTGGTGAAAGCTTGATGCTGACTTACACTTGCTTGCACCCAAAAAAGTTTAAAACATTAAAGGAAACAAGAGTTTCCTCTCTCAGATGTTTCTTGCTTGCAAAAAGCCAAGATCGCTGTGGGAAAAAAGAAAAATTATATACCCTGGAGAAAATAGGGGTGGTGGGAATATAATGTTTCTAAAATGCCAAATTGAAGCCATCCCATCCGAGGACTAGATAAGGTTTACTGTTCATTTTCTTGCCTCACCTACTGCTTCCATTTGGAAGAGAGAGAGGCAGTGAGCAGAAGGGAAAGTGGCCACTGCGAGGCAACAACATAGCTATACATAAAAGCCAACAAGCTTATTCAAAATGGCTCTAGTTGGTGAAATCTGTCACCTGAAACTAAAAATCATTTTCCTTTCTCCATTCTGTAGAGTTTAATGTGAATATGAAGGACAGAGAGCGCTTGGGGGGGTTTGTTGGGTTGTTTTTGTTTTCGTTTTTAAATAGCAATTCTCTCTGCAAGTGTGAAACACACCTATCTTTTCCCCTTTCCTCTTTTACCCTTATTCTTATCCCCCTTTTGTGTGCAGAAATAAGGGAAATAAAGATGAAATAATTTGTATGTATTGCATGGAATAGAATCACCTACTTAAAGGTGAAAGTCATAAGACTAAGTTTGACCCGTGCACAGTTTGCAGTCTTCTACATAGGATTCTTAAGGTTGTTTAGATTTCACTTGGCATCTAGGAACAACATCCTAAGCAAGGGAAATATAGGGAAGGAAACTATTTCCTTCCCCTAAGCAGGTGATATAATATGGAAATATTCTGTCCCAATAATCAGTATTTCTTGCTTATATGTCAAATCTGAGTTCATTATAATAAAAGGAAGTAAAAACATGGCATAACAGCAAATTTAAGGTGCTTCCAAAGGTGCATCAGTAATAGCATTGCATAATTGGTATTAGCGGTATTGAACTTTGTTTGTTTTTTCTTTCCTTTACTCAGAAAAATTGATATACATTTATCTCTGAAGTTAAAAGCTGTGGTCAACATCAGCTAGCACAGTCTAGACAACCCAAAGAGTAATATGCTTTTGCTTCTGTCCAGTTCTCCCCCACTTTTACCCAGAGGTAGTTTTGCATTTGTGTTAATGGAAAGCCAATGTGAATTCCTGGTCCTGAACTCTTGCTGCAACTGCAGCAAAATCCCTTAACTATCTATCTGCTACAACACCAGACTGTCATCAACAGATCAGCCAGAGTGCTCTTGCTACCACCTCAAGATCTACTCCTAATGACTGGTAAAACCGTTCGTACAGAACAGAAAGCTCTTAAAGACCCAAAAAGAATGGACATTAATGATGTTATTAATAACTCTAAAACATGACTTTAAATGCATCAAGCTTACCTCTAAATCAATTAACATAATTAATACTTTTCTAGCTAATAGTATGAGTAATGTTGGGATCAATCTATTAGTTCCACTTCCAAGAAAAGCCATTTGTCTTCTGTTTGATTCAACTTTACATTATTCCTAACAAACCATTAGCTATATTTAAATGATCTTTAATGTTTCTTTTACACAGATTTACTGAAACAAGTAATTTTAATCTTAAACTCTTGCCCATTGTGATATTATTTTTTTTCCTCAGAAAATGTAAAAAATATTTTACTTAACAGCTAATGGCTGCCTTCAAAGGACACCTCATTAATGAAGTATCACTTGACAAGTGATTTATGTTGACCTTGGACCAATACGTCAAAAAGTTATGGTCATTCCCTAGCAAAATGGATTCATTATATGACATCAAACGACTTTTATGAATCCTTGAATTTTGCCATGTCAGATCAATATCACAACATGGTGGCTATCTCTGTTAGTGACCATGTTAATATGTAATAAAATAATTAGTGTGTCTGAGGATCAAAAACTGTGTTAAGTGTGCAAAGGAATACTAAACAAATCTTTTGTATCAAACATTTATGCAAAGATAAATAATTGTTACACTGTAAAATTGTCAGTTCCATTTACAGTACATCAAGTACATTACAATGCATGACAGACTAAAGAAAACAAAGAGGGCTTGTTTAACTACAATCTTAAAACTGATATACACTGTAGATATTTCCTCATAAAAACTTCAAATGCTCTGTTCATTTCATTGCTCACAACCAGCTAACTAGCATCTCTTAGCAAAATAAACACATACCCTTGTATTTAGCATGGCATATTTTGTTACTGAATTAATAATCAAACATTATATAAAAATGATCTGAACATTTGCCTCAAGGGGGAGCTTACAGTTCATTCTTGTAGATCTTTTGCATTTTCAAGCCATTCCAAGCTAATGTTCTTTGACGACTTTATAATACAGTCTGGCTGCAAAATGTTATTTTTGCTTTGCTTTCAGTCAGTAAATCATTATACCTCCATGCTACTGTCCTTCCTAGGCATCTTTGAAATCCATAGTGTGGACTGGTTTGGACCGGTTTTTGTTCTTCCTTTACTGAAAAATAAAAATAGAAACTATTTTCAGTGCATGTGTGCCTTTATAGTTTTGATTCAGGTTTGTGATCAGACCTGGGTATTTCATCCCTATTTGAAGGTCACCTTTGTTGCTTTTCATAGCATAGGTTCCCCACCCACAAAAGGGTCATGCTGCACCAAGCATAGCACCGCAGTGGTGGGTCAAAGTAAGCAAGTGTTATCAAAATTGCCAGACCACCCTGCTTAGCAGTACTCCTCTCAGTACTTGGCCCATTTGGGGGGTTTTGTTTATTTGTTGTTTTAGGGGTTTTTTTTCAGTTCACATCCATCCACACTTACTCATACAGAGT